GGTGTGTAATTAAACAGAAGTGTGTGATTTCACACGGCCAAGGGTTTGGAATTTGGGGTTTTTAGGGAATAATAAAGGGAATGGGACAAGATGGAAGTTCTTGGGTGTGGCCTCATCTTCCTTTTCTTGTTCCTTCTTCTTCCTGGTTTCAAGGAGGAATTTTTAGTTCAATAGTTGGTGCTGCACTGAGGGTCACAGGAGTTTGGTTAAGGGGTCAAAATTATAAATAATATAATTATTAGTTCTTAATTGGATTGTTTAGCTTTAAAAGGCCTCGGAGCTCGGTTCAGCTCCACTTTGCTGGTTGCTGGAAGCGTTACAAACCTCTCAAAGAAAATAAATAAATAGATTAAAAAATAAATAAAAAAAAAGAAAATGAAACTATGAAGTAAAACTATTAAATAAGATTTAATAAACAACCAAGCCCCAACGAGAAATTCGTCTCCTCCGTGTTTTTAATGAAGATTAATTAAATGGTGCAGCTGAACCCCCACAGGCGGGGACAAATCCCCAAAAATCCGCGCAGGGAAGCGATTCCAGAGCTCTGGGAACCCTGCCCGAGCCTCGGAGCACGCCCAGGATGTTTCATCCTATTCCAGAAAATCCTCCCCGATCCCAAATTCCTGCAGGGCGGGAGGAGTGCTCAGAGCACACCTGCATTTCCTGAGGTATTTTTCTTCTTTTTTTTTTTTTTTTTTTTTAATAAATGAATGAATTTTATTTTGAAATTTTTGAATTTTTTATATTTTTGATTTTTAAAAATTTTTAAGTTTTTATTTTTGATTTTTTAAAATTTTTGATTTTTTACATTTTTGATTTTTAAAAAAATTTTTTTTAAATTAATTTTTAAAAATGAATAATGAATTGAAATTTATTTATTTTTTTTTTTGGTATTTGGGTGGAGCCCAGGGCCAGATCCGAGTCCCTTCGGCGACTTCACGTCTCCCCCTGCTTGCCCCGGCTGGGATTGCACAACCTGCCTCAGTTTCCCCACAGCGCCCGGGATTTTTCCTTCTCTCAGCAGCCCCAAATCTTTCCCTTTTCACCACAAAAGTGGCGACGCTTTTCCCTCTGTCCCGTGAAAATCCCAGACTGTGGAAAAAGCACCAGGAGGGGCTGCAGGAGAGGGAATTTGGGTGGGATTTTGGGGCAGGAATTGTTCCCCTGGCCCAGGGAATTCCATGGATTCGCCATCCCTGGGAGTGTCCCAGGCCAGGATGGGATGGGGAAATTTTTCCCGCTCAGCTTTGGAGTTATTCCCAAAATTCTTTGGAATTTTTTCCCAAAGCTCTTTGGAATTATTCCCAAAGCTCTTTGAAATTATTCCCGAAATTCTTTGGAATTTTTTCCCAAAGTTCTATGGAATTATTCCCAAAGCTCTTTGGAATTATTCCCAAAATTCTTTGGAAATTTTTTCCCAAAGCTCTTTGGAATTATTCCCAAAGTTCTTTGAAATTATTCCCAAAATTCTTTGGAATTTTTTCCCAAAGCTCTTTGGAATTATTCCCCCATGGCTTTGGAATTATTCCCCCTAGACTTTTTATTCCCACTCGGTTATGGAATTATTCCCACTCGGATTTGGATTTATTCCCATTTGGTTTTTGAATTATTCCCATTTGGTTTTGGAATTATTCCCAAAACTCTTTGGAATGATTCCCACTCGATTCTGGAATTTTTCCCACTCGGTTCTGGAATTTTTCCCACTCGATTCTGGAATTTTTCCCACTCGGTTCTGGAATTTTTCCCACTCGGTTCTGGTATTTTTCCCACCCTCCTTTTGGGGTGCAATCCCACATTTCCCGGAGGTGTTTGGGGCAGGGAAATCCGGAATTCTTTCACGGGGAACAAACCACAGCAATGCAAACAAACCCCGCGGGAGCAGCAGCCGAATATTTTTAGCAACCTCTGGGTGTGGCTCGGAGTCATCCTTGGTCCTCCTGGGGTGGCTCCAGGGTGACAAATTCCGGCCACCAACCTGCCCCGGGGGGCCGGATTTAATGGGAATTCAAATGCTCGGGGCTTGGAGTATTAAGGAAAAGTCATTAATGAAGTTTTGGTGCTTAATTGAGTGGTGTTTTCGCCTGATATTTGAATATTTGGAGTTTGATAAGGAGTTTTTTTTTGTTGTTGTTGTTGCGATGTTCAGCGTAGGAAAAGTTAAAATAGGGCAAAGATTTGGGATTTGTTTCTTCTAAATATTCCTGCCGGGAGGTTTCTTGAGAGGGCAAACCAAAAACTTGTCGTGAAGAGAATAAAATAATCTCCCCCCCCCCCCAAAAAAAAAAACCCAAAACCAAACAAAACAAAAGGAAAAATAAAGATTTTGAAAGACGCTTCTCCCAATCCCCGTGCAGCTGTTGCCCAACATCTGGATGTCCAAATCCCGAGGCTCCGTGGCGCAAGGCTTGTGTACAAAGTTAATTAATAACCTAATTAACGCCTGCCCCAGCGCTCTGTCATTAGGGCAAGGGTGGTCCAGGGGTTGCTTTGTGCAAAAAGCAGATTTTCAGATTTCCTTGGTGGATCAGGAGATTTCAGAGGGATTGGTGTGGACAGGAATCCCCGGTGGGGATGGGGAGGATTTAATTCCTCTTTAATTCTCAGATTAATCGCTCATTACTTCCAGCTATTACCGATTATTGGCCAATAGAAATGTTCTATAATAATTACGTTTATTGCGTTCACCTTTCAAGCTGCACGTCCCCACCTTGCAGGTTGTTCTTGCCCATAAAATATCCAATACAAAATTTAAATTTAAGATATAAAATATAATATATATTGTATAGTACATAGTATAAAATATAGAATATAATATATAATATACAATATACTTTCTATTTCTATTTCTATTTCTATTTCTATTTCTAT